GTCCCATTTGGGGGGTAATCTATTAAACTAAGTGCTTTTAAATGTTGTGTACGGAAGAAGTCACATATCGTTTAGCCTTGTGAATTTTAGTTGATTTCTGCTGTAGTTCTGTTTAACAAGTTCCAAGGCAGGAATCTTAAACTAAGACACTAAATCTTAGGTCTTTTGACTGTGTTGCAGATATTCTTTATTTACATCGGTTTATTTTTTTACACAGTATATATGTTTAAGATTACTAATGAGAAAGAATTCTCACTTGGCAACGCTCTCATATTCATTTTATTGGTTTATTGTTCTGTGATTAGATATTAGCTGAGCAATAAGGTTAGGATTCTCATTTTCTTGCTACTACACAACTCAGATTTTATTTCTTCAAGCATAATCAGAAACATGGAACTAAGAAATTTTTGAGTAACTTTTTTTTCTGTACTTCACTAGTAGGCAGAACTATTGGAGCTTGTTTTTTCAACAGATGAAAGAGTATGTAAACCATGGATTTTAATAACTTAAGTTCATTACCATTTACCTTTTTTAGGGCATATGTAATATTCATATGTTCTACCTACATTTTCAGTTTTTGTTGGAACTCTGAGCAGAGTACAATATTTGTTTTGGGAATGGGGAGAATTCTGCTAGGTAAGAGTCATGTACTCCTACAACACATCATTTACATTACGCTTTTCTGCTTAGGGAATGTAGAAAAGATATGGCCACAAATTTTCCAGTATAACATGTTGATTTTGAAAAAAACCCATGTTTTTCTTTGAATTCCAATTTTTCTTTTCGAACAATAGAAATTTAAAAACAACAACCAACAATAAAAAGCTAAACCAAGAGCAAAACTTTTTGATTGACTTAAAACATTTTTCTGCCTTCCATCTCCTGTTGTCAAAACTGTTTTGCAGGATATATTTAGGATCTTTTGGCTTTCCTCAGGCTTACAGTAATTATTGTTTTTAAATTTTCCAATGTAGTAGTTTACTAGTTTGTCTGGTCTTGTAAAATGATTACCCAAGGAATTGGACAATTTTTCGGTTTTTGTTGCAACAGAATATAGAAAAATGTGCTTCTGCATAGTATTAGAACATTTCAGCAGAACTAAAGCTGTGAAATATGATTTGGTAAATAGTTTATAGTCAAGTAAACTCAGTAATTAAATAATATTACTTTAAAAGTTTTATTTGAATCTGACTCCTTTTGGTTTGCTTGAACCTGTATAAAGGAATGCAATTTTATTAGTCTGTCCCTCTCCTTACTACAGATGAACCTCAGCCATTTTCTTGGGGTATGTTTCTGGATAATCTCTAGGAACAAATTTCTAGAGATAAAATTATGAGAGAGAATGTGAATAAGATTGAATAATTTAATTATTAGTATTTAAAATTAGGAGGTTAAGTGTGGATTTAAAGCCTAGAATATTACTGCTGATTGTGATTTTTTTTTTCTTTTCAGAGAAGTGTAAAGCTACATAATTAATACCGTTAACATCAGTAGCAGTTACAAGATGCTTAGCAGTTTAAATCACATAACCAATTACTTTAATTTTAAACCATTCTTATTTGCATTATTGATATAGTTAGGATAGCCAACTGTTGGATTTAAAGAGAGAAAGAAATGATCCTATCCAATTTTCCTTTTGTTTGAGAATCTTTACATTCATTTTCCGTGCTGAGAAAATTCTGAGCCTTTCTAGCTGCTTCTTTAAGTCCTAAACTGAGTTCTATGCAAGACCTGGATAGAGGAACCATGTGAACCATGTGAACCAAGTAATTTAATATTCCCTTAGTTATACTTCTGGCCTTAAATTTGCTGATTTAATGATGGCTAACATTTGAAGAGAATTTCTGCCTTGTCTTAAAATTTCTAACCAACTTTCTGACTATAGCTACCTTTAATGTTTTATTTTTCTTGATATTGAACTTTGACTTTAAAAACTTTGCAGCGGATTTTTGGAGACGAAGATGGTGCTGAAGCTGCTGCACTTTTGTATGCTAAAGTTACCATTCACTTTCAAAGGGTTTCAAAAGAAAACATTTCAACAATCCAAAGCTTCACCAAAAGAAAAAAAAAAGGTCTAAATTGAATTGTACTCCAAATCACAGTATTTTATTCTATATTAGAACTGTGTTTCGAAAGCATGGTCCACAATATGTTTGTCTCTCTCGTTCTGATAAGAAATTTCATGCCTAAAACACATCAATGCTATCTTAGGGACAAACTACCTAAAGGATTGGTTACAGGAAGGATGAATTTGGTCAAGATTAAGATTATTGATTATTCAAAATTTATTAATGAAATTTGGTATACAGAGAGGAAAATTTTAGCACCACTTAATCATTAACCAATGGCAAAATATGTTCAAGTGACTTGATTACAGATTCTCTAGATGACAAGATTCACACTAATTTACTGTAAGATAATTCAGTCAAAGGAGATGTCTTTATATATCTGTCTGCATTCTTAAATACAGGATGTGCACTTATAAATATTAGGCAAGGACACAGTTTTACTCTACAAGTATTTGTTTGGGATTGTAAATTTGACTTTTATTCCAATTATACACCTGGAAACTTGAATCTCTTTTTTGTTGTTAGCTGTAATAGAGTTTCTACATTAATGCTTATTGAATTTTCTTACATGGGGTAATAAAAAGACTTGTAGCATATTATGGTGTGAGCTTACTGGCATTTTGTGTTATCTTCAATACAGTTTCTCCATCATGTGAAGAATGCCTAAAATCCTGAGTGCTTTGAATTATTTTTTTAGAGCAAGTAATTAGTAAAACAGAATACACTTTGCATTTACAGGCACTTGCAGACCAGTTTGAAGACACAAATACATCGGTATCTGAACGCATGAAGATTTTCTACTGTTGTCAGGTGCCTCCACGTTGGGCTATACAGGTGGGAAGCAATCCCATTTCAAGCTTTACCTAAAAGTCTTATTTTTTTGGATACTGCATGACTCCAAAATCAAGAGAGTGTGATAGAATTTTAAGTTGAAACACTGTAGAAATAAAAATGTAACCTAATAGCACACCAGGTTTTTCTGGAGAGAAATCAAGTTCTACAGTGTTTTGATTTCAGATGTCTTGTTCTGTCATGCACAAAAGTAATTGCTTGCCGCGCAATTCTTACTCATTTTTCTTTTTCCTCCAATTTTCCAAGCCAAAGATACAAGTGTTAAAATAGAGATTTATAATAGAAGATGACTGAAGGCTTCTAGTCGTAGTAATGAAGAGGCATTGCCTATATAAATTTTACCAAATCTGACTCCAAGTAAATTTAATAAAGCATAGATGAGATTAAGTTCTAGACACTGGCAAATAAGTAGTGATGAGTATTAAGCTAACAAATTATTACTTTGTACAGATTTTCAGAGTTTGCCAAATAATTATATCAAAAAACTGTAACCAGTTCTTAAATTTTTGACTACCAGTCAAACATAAGGTATGGTAACTCCTTGAATTTGTAACATATCGTGAACCAAGCCTATAAAGAGAGGTCTATGACATCTGTGGAATACTTCAGGGAATCCTTTCAGGATCACAAAAATACTGCAGAGGTTCACAGATGGAATCTTGTAGCTTAGTAAAGTGTCCTTATACAGAATGCCCCCATTTGTCTTTGCAAACCAAATTTTGTTTCACACAGTAAATAGGCTTCATCTCAGAAGAAAGGATAACTTACGTGTGATTTGAATCTCCTCTCAAAAAATAAACACAAGACCAGAGACAACTTTTAAAAAGTCATCAAAACATACCTTGTTTGGTTTTAAATTGTCAAGATTGCTCATTTATTTTCACAAGGGCACTGAAATAATAGCTGAATTTGAAATAACAAAGAGGCTGACTTATCTAGGAGGAAAACTCAGCTAGGGAGTGGAACCTGAACACAAATCCAATACTGATTTTACTAAAAACGAACACCTTTTGGCACCTATTGGGATGGTGATTTCTCACAAGTAGTTTATAAAATGGTATCAGAGCCTTTGTCTCCATCTGTGTGTTTTCACAGGTCCAGATTACTATGACAAAGCATTGCTAGGCGAGGCTTCAATGCCCTCCTTCAGCCTCTATTTCCCACCTTTAGCATTTCCAACTTCTGCTGCACCTGCTCTCCAGTAGAACAAGCCCTGCACCTTAACTAAGGGGTGGAAGTTCAGTTCTGAAAACTAATTCTTGTGATGCCTGTTTCAATTTTTGTGTTATCTTATAAACTAGTTGAACGTACTACTGACATGAACAAAAGTCCAGTCAGAACAGTTATTGTTCTATTGATGGTTTTTTTGAGATATGTTCATTGTTTGAGGCTCTAGCTTGAAGGTTCAACAGAATAATTCCATATTCTCTGCCTGCTTCTTGCTGATGTCAGAAATGCCTCTATTTTTAAAAAATATAAATAGTATTTACTTACCTGTTTTCAGTTACCTGGAAATCTTTATCTTTCCAGCGTCAGCTTGCAAGCTTACTATTTGAGCTGGGGTGCACCAACTCTGCCTTACAAATATTTGAGGAGCTGGAAATGTGGGAAGATGCAGTAATCTGCTATGAAAGAGCAGGACAGCACGGAAAGGTAAGAAAAATGGTCTTTATAGCTAAGATCTTGTCTTGAAATAGTAAGTAGAGTATGAAGGACTGTCTGACTCAAGCTATTAATTCACTAATGACACTCACTTCTACCAGGGCTTCATGAGGAAAGTCTGTTTAAGAAAAATGGATACATGACACATGAGTCTGTCATAACCTGTTGTCATGGGTTAGGGCTGGGCCGGCCTCTAACACAGACAGACGCTCTCTAACCCCCTCTTCCCCCCGCCCAAATGGGAAGGAAAAGGGAATGAAGCAGAGAGACTTTTGGGTTAGAGAAGAAAAAAAAAATACAACAGCTTTAATGAAACAATAATAATAGAAAATAATAGTGGAATGATAAAAGTAAAGAACTATATACAACTATAGATAATAGCCCGATATCATACCCGACTACCTCCCCTGATATCAATCACCACTGGTGCTGCAGAGCAGGAGGCACTGGGGAAGCCCCAGGCTGAGCGGCGGTGGCGGGAGCTGGATACAGGGAGCTGGATTCGAGAAGTCAGGATCCGGATCAAAAGCAGGAGGTCAGATGGAGTCCTCTCTGGACACCGGCCGTTGCAGAAGAGGGCAAAAAAGGACCGAAACTCTCGTGATCACCAATTTATACTAAATATGACGTATATGGAATGGAATACTCTCGTCGGTCACCTGTCCTGTCTGTTACCCCCTGGAGGTGCAACCTTTTACTTCCTTGTGACCCCCCTTTACTACCCGGCACCCCCAGCGTGGCACACAAGAGCCAGCAGTGGCTTTGGTCGCCATAGGAATAAGTATAAGCAAGAGCCTTTCTGCATCCCAGTCCCAGGCAGTAACTGTAAACATCAGGTGTTATCACTGCCAGTAGCACACGCTGTCTGCAAAAACATGCTGCTAACTTCAGAAAGTGCAGCCTTTTAGAAGAGACTAAAATTGAAAAGTAAAAATCACTAAATAGGACTGGGTTTTAGCTCAAACCTGGGACACCTGTGAATCCTAAAAAAGGGATATTTGGGTTAAAGACCTCATGAAATAGAAGTGGATATATAAGAACTTAAGAAGCAAGAGGACTGTGATAGTGATTGTTGAAAATATTCAAGGGAGGTTAAGTTAAACTGTGGATGCACAGCAGGGTGTCATGGGGGCACTTCAAGAAGGCTGTAGCAGTCATTCACGATGGCGTCTTGAAGCTTTGGCTGGAGGGGATGTTAGTTTTCTTTCTCACTTGATTTCAGACTATTAATTGTATATTTTAAAGCCTATTTAAATGGAACAGCATTAGTGCTTGATATAATTAATTGCCTAATGCTAACATATTCAAATTACAGATTCAAGCATTGAAGACAAGAAGCATTGTAAGATTAAGTTTAGTTGTGTTCTCTTTCTCATGCACTCTCACAGAGAAACATTAACAGGGACTTAAGCTGTCAAGCATTGTTGTCAGAATTTATATAGTTTTCAGAAATACTTTCAGCCAAAAATATCTTATCTTCGCTGTTCTTTCCCTCTGTTTGATATATGGTAGCATTAAATGATCGTAACATGATAGTATGTGTGCCTTTGGCATAAGCACAAAGACTACGTTTAAACTAATTTAAGCTTAGAGAATAGAGAGCTATAACTTCATTTACTAGAAAAAATGCAAAATTTCTGACAGTTACATATTTTTTTCTAGCTATCGTGCACCAATGCCTAGATTTTGGTCATTATAAACTGACAGATACGTCTTGCTGGCAAATTCTGTATCCCATTATGCGTGCCTTGGGGATAGTATGCTAATATCCCAATCTTCTCAGTACGGTGGGGAAATAGAGGTCAATATTTTCCATTTCCTGGAAATGCATTCTGTCCTAGTTACATTCACAAGCTGCCCTTAGGGAGTTATGAAAATGGTACTCGGAGAATAGGACAGGATATCTGACACAGGAAACTACTTCGAAATGCTTTTGGAATGAGGGTTTGTGCTGTGCTTTGAAAAACAGAAAATGCTGTGTAAGTACCAAGTAACAGTAGTGCTGGAAAAAAGCTAACTTCAGACCCAAAAAAAGCCAGAAAATTAGAAACATTTAGCTGTACACCAAGGGGAGTGATGATCTGTGCTCCTTATCAGAAAGCTTTAAGAGCTTATATATATCAAAAATGGTTTTATGTTTTTAAAACCAGCAATTATTCTTTTAGAAATACAGAAGAATCTTACTAGAGCAGTATGTTTTTCAGTGTATGTTCACATCATTAAAGACCTTGGCATGTATGTGCCCAAAAGAACAAACTATGTTGAATAAACTTCTGCATGTTTTTACTTGCAAATGCTTTTATACAGAAAATCTAAATTTAAATACTGAAAGTCTATTAAAACAGCCAGGTGGCAACAGTGTCTCAATGCATTTGATGAGTACTTACACATCAAAGTAATATGTTCTTGTTCCTAGTTTTGAATTACTTGCTGACAAAGAAACAGAGCATGTAGATAAGGCTGTGTGAAACTCCACATTATGCACTGGTAAATATGTAATTCACAGGGCCAGGTAGCAGTACAAGTTTTTCAGAGTAGGCTATCACTAACATTTAGTAAACTTTTTGAGGATTTTTTACTGTTACTAGATATGACTTTATACTCATTTGTTTCATAATCTGAACAAAACTAGTAGAAACTGGTGTCATTACATGAGTCAACAGAAGAGTAACAGGGATTCAACAGAAGCATACTCTTCAAGAGAAGAGTAACAGAACCAAGTGATGAGCTAAACAGGGCACAGAACAACAACAACAAAAAAATTATATAATCTGAATGTAAAGTATGTTGACAGTTGTTGCATCTTTCTTATTCCAGTCTTGTTATATTAACAGGCTTATTGCAAAAGGGGACACTAATCTCCATGTATGTAGCAAAAATTAATGTTGAAAAGTGTCCCTCTCCCTTCCTTGAACTGTAAGGGGGACCCAGAGATCTCAAAAGTTTTAGTTACATCAGACAACTTCACAGAATCACAGAGTCAACTTCATTTGGTTAAGGTGTGAGAGGTCCCTTCAATCTTACTGGAAATTGTTAATACACTAAAAATTGTATTATTTCTCTGATAAATAAAAAAGAAAGGATGAACCAGAGATGTGAATTTTCAGTTCTTCCAATTGAAGTGAAGCCTTTCTCCCTTGTAGGAGTTCTAAAGCACAGTAGCTGCTGATCTTTGATAAATTCGTGAGTTTGGCATCAGCCTGGTATTCCCTCTTACAACACTGTTTTTAGCCTTAGCCGTCTTCCATCATCTCTCCTCAGAGTAAAGAGCATGGTATATACTCTGGTTTAGAGCAACCCATACCCAGCAGTCCATGTTCTACAGAATTATTTTTCATGTCATGACATGACACATATTTCAAAATATTTGAGTGAGGAAACACAGTTATGATAAGATCTCAGAAGCTAAACTTTAAATTGAAGAAATGCTTCCCAGATGCAAAGTTAAGCAGTACTAAATTGATTAGTGCTTGAGCTCATTCAAGAACTTGATTGATTTCTACTACATATCATAACATGTCGGAGGCAGGTAAGAACTCCTATATGTAGCTACAAAATTGAGAAAGAGGAATAAATGGCTTGCCCAAGGTCATGCGTGAAGTTGCAGGGAAGATGACTTGAAAGCCGATGAGCTTTCTCTTTCTCTCACTACCTCTTTCCGTGCCCATCTGCTCTGCTTCTTCATGCTGCTTCTCTGGGAGCCTAGCAAATAATTTGAAAGCAGAAAAGTTGAAAGTATTTTAGGAAATACTTTGAACTAGCGAAGGAATGGATTGTCAGTAATAGAACTGTGAAGGGTGAGGCTTGTCGGGTATTATAGGAAACAAATAAAATAAAAGCATGGGAATATTGGAATGGGACGACAAGTGGAAGCTGAGATTTGGGAAACCCAAAGCAGGATGAATCGTGGTTACCAGCAGTCTGTAGTGAGAAACAGAACCCTTTTTACAGATTGGGGATTTTTGAAGTGTTGCCTGTTTAATTCCCATACTGACCATAGTAGTCAAGAAAGCAAGATAACAGCCTAAATCTTTCTTGTGTTTGAATTGACTTTTGAACGGAATATTGAATTCTGTCCATTCCGGCGCAGACCGTTCTGTGAAAAGCAGTGTTGTTGTAATTACATCTCTTTGAGTTGACAGAGGTTATACAACTTAATTTTTTTCTTTTTAGGTACATTCTAATTGATTTTTTTTATCAAGGATTATTAATTTAGATAGAAGTTTTAGTTATAAAGCATGTGAATAAATCATTATTAGTTTAATGGGTAAGAATAAGTAGTGTTTATTGCTTTCATGTACGTTGTGTGAGCCATATGGAAAATGTTTCTTGATGTAACATTTTTTTGTTAAGACAAGATTTGTGTTTTACAGAAGTAGAACTGTTATCAAAGATTCTTTGTGCATTTTTGAAAATAGTTTACTGCAAAGTTAGGAGAAAGGAATATTTTTTCTTCACAAAACCTAGACAAAATGAGAAAGATGAGTTAAAGTATCTGGTTTTCTAGAAGACAAATGGCAAATGTTTTGAGAATATGATGGTTTTCAGTTTGTAGTTATAACCCTTTGTATTAGCCTTTAAAGATTTAAGTATTAAAAAGGTTTGTAACGTGCCAGAGAGGCGATCAGATAGCTAATCAAGTGAAGAAAAAGTCAGATTTCTGCTTATTTAATTCTATTTTATCTGTGCCCTGAAGTGTTTATGTTGGCAGTGTGTTCTTGTAAGCTTAGACCAGAACATGATGTTTTTATGCTCTTATATGTGAAATACAATTAGTGAATGGGAGTCTTTCTAGTCTAGTACTGGGTATTGCCACAGAACAGCAATCTGAGTTTGGGAGTGCCCCGCAGAGGAAGAGGTAAAGCAGCAGCAGTCAGTGCACTTTTCACCTCCTAGCTGCTGTTTACGCAGCAGCATTGAGTCTTTTTCCTTTATGTGAAGGGAGAAAAAGCCCTTGCTTTTTGGTGCCTAATGTTTTTACCGCAATAATAAAGCACACAGTTCTCTCTGCACTATGGAAAAACATCTTAAAGATTTATCATTAAAATGTGTCCCTTTAATCTTGTCATAGCAGCTAATGGAGGCAGGGAGGAGGAAGTAGGACTGTCGCAGAATCACAGAATGTTTGAGGTTGGAAGGGAGCTCTGGAGATTGAATCCAACCCCCCTTCTAGAGCAGGACCACAGAATCTAGGGCAGGTCACACAGGAACGCATCCAGATGGGTCTTGAAAGTCTCCAGAGAAGGAGATTCCACAACCTCTCTGGGGAGCCTGTTCCAGTGCGCTGTCACCCTTACAGTAGAGAAGTTTTTCCTCGTGCTCTGGCTTGAATCCATTGCACCTTGTCCTATCACAGAGTACAAGGGCAAAGAGGTTGTCCCTGCCTTCTTGACGCCCGGCCCTCGTATATTTACTGTCCTTTAGCCAGACCCTCTGCAAGTGCCCTGTTAGGTGGGATTTTCTAATGCTTTAACTTGGCTAATTTTAAATTTTAAGTAATAGGTGGTTTTTTGGCTTTCTTTGGAAAGCTGTTCTATAGGCACTTAAACCCACTTAGTCTTAAGTTATTTTTCTAACATTCAGCCACTGTTTGTCTTCTTAGTAGGATTCTGGTTTTGCCAGGTTAAGATCCTTTTAGAAATCTAAACAATAAATCTGTTCTTCACATTTGTTCACTTCAAATATTTGTAGGCTTTACTGTTACTTTATTTAACAAAAATAATAGCAAGAATGAAGTTAAAAATTGCTACGCATTCAATATTTCAAAACAAATAAAGTAATTTTTCTAAAGATGATTTTCAGACAGTGTCAATGAATTTTACTAATTGGAGAAAGAGGAGTGAGAGACTTTTATTCTTTAAAGATCATCTGAAGGACAAAGCAGCTTTTATAGAAGAAGAAAAACAGTATTAATTAAAATACAGAGATGAACTCAGCTTTCCTTTTAGATAAACTAGCTATGCTAGAGGAATGAGTAGTGTTACAATGTCAAACCCTAATTCTGTGACCGACTGTGTTGAATCTTTCATGGTTCAGATAGTTCAAGTAGATCTTTTCTAAAAGAAAAATTATACTGAGCTGAATTATGTATGTTACATTTTTGCAGCAGGGAACTGAGGTAAGAGTTCAGTCTGAACAACAGATCATCTGTCCAGTATATTTATCTTTTCAAAAAGCCACAGAAAGCAGACTATCTCTTCTTTAAAAGAGAAACAGTAATTTTATTGTTAAAGTGAGATAGTGACCCTGAGATAAAGAGCTTTTGAAAGTTAGTTACAACCAATAATGGATGTCTGGGAGACCCAGCTTGTGTCGTCTTTTTCCATAATGCTGTGTATATATACTAAATATATTTTATTTTAAATGAATTTATAACTTCTGCATCTTATGTAAAAGAGTAGCATTTCCCAAACCAACAGCATGGAAGTGGATGTGTCTTCAGACATAACAGAATGGAAGTAATTGTTTTCAGGAAAGAGCGAATAGAGAAGAAGGAATTACAGTCATTGCAAGAGTTCTTGTTAGGATATGTGTCATAAACTATTAGGATTGCACATACCTTAACTGTGCTGATACTGCATTGCCATGAAGTAGGGGTAGGTTTGATGTCCAAGACTGATATTTGCTCTTGGGACAGAATACACACCTAAGATAGGAAACGAAGAGCAAGTTGCTTCTTGTTTTAATGGGTACTTTTTCCTTGGTGTATTAAACTGAAAGCCACCATATTATGTTAATGTTGAAGTGGAGTTTTTAAAAACGGTTTGGAAACAGATCCTCTTTGGGCTTTGTCTTTGATGCTGTGTTGGATCAAGATACTGTTTCCTTACTAACCCGATTTGTTAGTCTTTGGCTGATGATTGCAAAGTGCTGAAGTGGTATCTGTTAAGGTAGGTGAGTAACTGAAAATAAAATAAATTTTCCCATTGCCTATTGATTTCTTTTTTTCTTTAACAGGCAGAAGAAATACTCAGGCGGGAGTTAGAGAAAAAGGAAACACCAGGATTATATTGTTTGCTTGGTGACGTTCTTAAAGACCACCAGTATTACGACAAAGCCTGGGAGCTCTCCAGGCACCGAAGTGCCCGTGCCCAGCGCTCCAAAGGCCTCCTTCATCTCCACAACCGGGAATTCAGGGAATGTGTGGAGTGCTTTGAACGTTCCGTGCAGATCAACCCTATGCAGGTTGGGAAATGATACGCATATGGCTTTGTTTTAGTTGGTGTGTTCAGTTTTGAATGATGACACACTTTTTAAAAAGACAATTCTGTGCACAGTTTTCTGAGTAACAGCTTATTACTATTGTTAGCAAATTTTTCACCATGTACTTAGAAACCTGGCTAAAAGCAGTAGCATAATGAAATGAAGACATCCTTTTGCATTCAAGTTCTGGCATGCAGCTCTTTGCCCGTACAGCTCTTCTATTTCAAAAAGAGATCAAGCAATTGAAAACTAATAATTATCATCAAATAAGTCCTGAACAAGTGCCAAGCAAAATAGTTACAACAAGAATGCTATACAGATTTTAATGAAATTATTTTTGTCTTCTCTGTTGGCTTTGAGTTACAAACTCTGATCTCTCTATTTCACAGAAATCTTGAAGTGTTCTGCTCTGTGCTGCTCTGGAGTCACTGAGAAGTGTTGTGTTACACTTGTGATGACAATAGCTTTTATTATAATAATGCATCAAAACTGTAACCACATTCAAAAGAGTCATCTTGATGAAGCTGGTTATTTTGATGGATCCTTAGCAAGCTATTCTACAGACAATTTTTATAATCTTGTTTGAGTTTCTCAGCCAATATATCTCATCCCATTAAGGTCCACCCTGTGAAAGGTCTTGAGAATTTAAAAGTTTGTGGTTGTTTTTGTATATAAATTCTGCTCTTCATAGCCATTTCCAGGTCCATGCAAAAGTAGGATATTCCTCCTTCTTGCTCTCCAAAGAATACTGCTGAAGCTGCTGTTCTGAGTTGCACATAGCTGACTAGACTTCTAGTTTAGAAAAAATTTTCAAGACCTTCATCCTTTCACATTTTTTATCCTGAAGCTTCTTGGTATTTCAATGATGTATTTTATTCTAGCGAATCAGATTCTTGTTCTTATTCAAGTGAACTCCAGATAACTTATAAACACGTTTAGAATAGGAAGTAAAATGAACAAAAATGCTTCCCTTGTCTTTCAGTTCTCTTACTGACGCAGGAAATGCTGACAAAATATATATTGCTCAGATAGAAACCTCATTGAAATGAAGCGGACTTCCAGATAATAAAGGGCTGCAGAAGGTGCCCTACAGGGCTCAAAATGGAGAATTGTTCTGCTAAGATGCTCTTTTATTTCATGTACTTTCCAGAGGAAATTTAAAATGAAAGGCAATTCAGGAAAAAATAAGCAGTCCATATGGGAAGGCAAACAATTCCTCCTCTTGTCATTCATGAAGCTTTATTTAAGATTCAGATAAATAATTTCAAGCAAGTAGATTAAGCAGCTGGATAGCATGGATTGACATATCACTGTCTTCTGAAGTCTCTGTATGCCGTCACTACAGAAGTTGTTTCCTGTTTCAGGATGTCTTGTGGATGCAGAACAGAAGGGTGATTCTAGATGGAAGGACTTTTATACAAGAAAAATACTAATTAATTGTTCTCAGAATTATGAATAATTTGTCAGGTAAACAAGGACTATTACAAAGAAATTGTTATTTGTGTGGTTATCAGAAACTATTTTGGAACAGATGTTTTTTAGGCTACAGCAAGTGATTCCCCAAGATACCTAGTGGATAAAATCGTTCTCTGTCAGCCTTCCTGTAATCTTGTGTACTCTTTGGCCAACTGGACAAATTTCGTTGGGATCTCTGAGGTAGGTCTTTGCAGTATGAGCCAACCACCATATTAATCTTTGGGAAACCCATGAAAAAATGAAATTCTTACAGTTCAAATATAACTGAAACTTATCTTTGTTAGCACTGCTGCTCCCAGAATTACTTGTTCTGGTACATGCATAGTAAATGACAAATGCATTTCTCTTGCACTGTCTCTGCAACCATCTTGTAAGGTTGGACTGAGGCAATTCCAGAGATCAGAGAGCTCGTGCATCTGTTCTCCAGTGGTAAAAGTCTGTGTAACAAAACTTACAGCTTGTTCAGTTACAGATTTGGAAGTTCTTGTGTTTAATAGCGTGTGGTTCTCTGTATCCAGTCACTTCACATTTGAATTTTCCAGAAATAAGAGTGTTCATAGCACGTTTTATATGCCCACACTGTTCTCCACCATGTCACAGTCTGCAGAAAAAGAATAATTCTCTTTTGTGTTAGGCTGTTTGGTTCATAACTTCTCAGGCTAATTTTCTTGGGTGTAAAGCAAGACAAGTTAAGTCTCTCCAATTTGAGAAAACAGTCACACTTCAAAAGTCTGCTTGCCATCAGCTACATCTGGAGTGTAAAGTTTTGGACACTGCAATGAGAGCCTTATTCTCAACAACTCTCCTCATTCATCTTGTGATAGTAAAAGTAACTCAAACAAGAGTTGAGCCAGAGTCTCTCACTGGAAATTATGGTAAAAGTCTGTACTTAGGTAAAACTATACTATGTTCTGTCAGTGTATTGTGTTCAAGAAACTGAATTAAAAGGGATGTAAATACTGCCAAAAATTTAATAATTAAAAAGGTAGTCAGCTAGGATTTCACTCAACTAGAGCATTTAAAATTGTACTGTAATTACTAACTCCAAAGACTTAGTTTTGCTCTACAGGGCATAGATTGTTTCTAAACTAATGCTGCTCTACTCCTACAAGTATTGTAGTGAAGAGTTTACTGGAGTCTGAAAAAAAAAATCTATATGTATTTGCCATATGCAAATAATAGAAATTGCTATAAAAATGCAAAAAAGTTTCTTCAGATATATGGTTTGGGTTTGTTTCTCTTTAAGTATTCATCTATACTGTAATTAGGTTATTTTGGAGTTGTATTCTCACTAATATGAGAGAATTGGTTAGACTTTCTTAAAGTATTTCATAATCATTTAGATTTAATTAAGACTTGCCTGGAAATTCCTGATGGAAAGTTTTAACAAATAGTCCAGGCCTAAATTATCTTCCTTTGCTAGTCACTGCATTCAGTTTTGAAAAGGATAAAAATTTACAGCTCATTTTCATGTGTTTTTCTAATCAGTAGCAACATCTGAACCTCTAGCCAATGAGCTTTTTTTATTTCCAAACAAGAACTTTAACCTAGTTCCACAAGCCTTGACAAAAGTCTTTTTTAAACTTGGACAAAGGTTTCCTTACGCTACCTTTTCAGTCAGTCACTTTCCTCAGGGCTGTTGTTACATCAGCCAGTGGGATCAGCAGATTTCATGCCCTCCCCAATAGAAAGGGAATTCTTACCGTTCTTTCCATGAAAAATAGCTTAAGTCTGTTCTTAAACTGTATCTTAAGTATACTATTAAATAGTTATTATACTTCTTATCTTGTGGAAGAAATTCATACTCTCTTTCCAGATGTGTTATGGATGATAAAACACAGTTTCATTGCTACAGTAGATCAAAAGCAATGATTTTTTGTTTGGTGGAGTTTTTTACACAGCTACCACATTTTTTCATTTAACCTGTCAGACTTGTGCTTTTGGAGCTTTCTTATTTGTGTTGCACACCTGCTTTTAAAGCATGTGCACTTATTCTGAATAATCTCTTTTACTTAGTTTTTAACTGTTAAAATTGTCAGGGCTTTTTAGAGCCTTTTTTACTGAGGCCTGAGATTTTAATCCATATCAGTTCTGTTGTTTGTTTACACAGTTAATTTTCTATGGGATTGATGCTGAAGTTTTCTTTAACATATAGGGATATTCTTCCATTTGCATAACCTATTCCATTTTCTGTATACCTTTTGCCTCAGTATTGTAGCATCTCGTGAGGCTTCTTGATTTAAGTCTCATCCCAGAGACTTTTCCTCTCATTCTTCTTGTTGACTAAAGGATCTATTTTGGATACCTTTCCTAACCTTCGCCATCATGTTCAGTTCTCATGGTTTTTTTTCCATTCAACTGAAACCTTTGTACATAGTTACTGCTAGGCAAAATATCTTGCTTCAAGTTATTAAGAAAATAAAATTAGTTATTGTTCTTTGCAATCAGTGTATGATTTTTATTAGGTACCTGCTCATATAGCTCTTCTCCACAGAAGTAAAGAATCATTTTACTTTCTCCTCATGCTGTAACTTTTTCTTGAGAAAGGAGTTGACAAGCCTAAGCCTTGGTAAGCCAGTTCCTGTGGGATGTGGCTGCTCACCATCAGCCTCAAAAAAGGGACATTTTGATGCTTTTACTCATTAGAATTATAAAAAACGCAGTGACTGTTGTTCTCTCACTCTTTACAGAAACACTGTCTAAATTTTATCCCGAGCCTTGGAGCTAGCCTTCAATTTCATACTTGATCAGTCCTGTCTCTACTTCCACCTTTCATGTCCAGAAAGTTATTGATCTAGAAGTAGGAGAAAGGGGAGTTGATGAGATAGCAGCCGTATGGGAGTGCTGGACTTACGGAGACTTGATGAACTTAAAAAATGAGACTATTTATTTCCTATTAATTTTGCCCTCTGAGTTTTGGGAAACATTGTTTTCTCCTCATGTGCAGTTTCTTCTTTGCATAGTGAGTTTAAGGATCATGAAGGGTGACAGGCTGACAGTGCTGAAAAGTAGATTTTCGTGATTGCCCAGGCCAAATGTAACTGGCAGTTCTGTCTTCACCTGTTCATCCATGTGCTCTGAGGATGGACCATCCAGATACACCCTCAAATGCAAAAGGATACCTTTATTAGCAAGCTGGTCCAGTTCTTTTCTTGATATCATTAAGACTGCCCACCAGGGTGCCAGATCTGACGGGTATCAATGTCATACATTTGTATTCTGGGATTCAACTTTTGAAACAGATTAACTGAGCTCTACAGCAGGTAAGTCAGGAGTAAATACCTTGTTACTGATTTTATAAGTTCAGCCTCAGAAAAATGAGTCCGATCTGGAGAGATCTACAAAAATAGCTGCTTCAGAGTTTGCAGTTAATCTGCAGATGTAAAAGCTCCTTTCATATGAACCGACAGCTTTATCTTCAACCTTGTAAGATCCCTGATTTGCAAATGTTTCTTAAGTTAAAGTTGTGTTTAAACAGCCCTTATGGTTTCCTATGAACAACCTGAGTTGTAAGCATTGCGTCCTTCAGAATTATTACCTAAAACACGAGAGGATATAAACATTAATCAGACATCTTGAAAAGTAGTATGTTATTGTGCAGTATAAATTAATGTAACCTGGTTTTCCATCTTCCTCTTTCCAACATTTTTCCTCTCTCAAAAAATTTTCCAAGAACCTCTGTTTGTTTCTTACCTTGGCATTTAGAATGGAGAGATGGCTGAACATTGCAGTAGGTAGTACTTCCTGGAACAATTTTGCAGCACATCATGAAATGTTCTGTTTAGTTTTGACTGCATACATTTAAACAGCATAATGCTGTCAGAAAACATTCTGTCAATGTACTTGGGATTTAGTATTTTGCTGAATTACAGAGCTTTTCTAAAAGGTCGTACTGCTTAGCTTGCAGCTCTTAGAGGCACAAATTACAGCAAATTAAATATGCTTTTTTATGGCTCTTCAATAGCAAGCTCCTGATTTGCCAAATGGTTAGGGTCTCCATCTGATATTATTTAGAACAGAATAGACTATTTCAGTTGGAAGGGACCTACAATGATCAGCTAGTCCAATTGCCTGACCACTTCAGGGCTGACCAAGTTAAAGCATCTTGTTAAGGGCATTGTCCAAACACTTCTTAAACAGCATCAACCACCTGTCTAGGAAGCGCGTTTCAACATTTGACCACCCTCTGCATAAAGAAATGCTTCCTAATGTCTGGTCTAAACCTCCTCTGGGGCAGCTTTGAACTATTCCCATGTGTCCTGTCACTGGACATCAGCTCAGCAGGAGTCGGCCGTGTGCCCTGGCATCTGAGAGGGCAAACCCTGTCCTGGGGTGTATCAAACACATCATGGCCAGCCTGTCAAAATTGGCGATTTTCCCACAGAATTGAGCAATGGTGTGGCCTTTTGAATACTCTGTGCAGTTCTGGGCCCCACAATCAAGAAGGACAGTAAGGTCCTTGAAAACATCCAGAGGAAGGCAACAAAGCCAGTGGAAGGGCTGGAAGTCCTATGAGGACTTGTCTAGTTTGGAGAAAAGGGGGCTGAAGGGTGACCTCATTGCTTTCTACAGCTTCCTAAGGAGAGGAAGTGCAGAGGGAGGTGCCGAGTTCTTTTCCTTGCTTGAATCCGTATGGATGAGAGGTATTTGATTGTAACAACTAAAGACTAGCAATGCAAGATTATTGAACTGGTAAAGTTCTGTTCCCTGCACAAGGCATTATACAAGGCATTATACATTTCTATCTCTAAGCATTGCATTATAAACTAGAGAAGATTGATATTCTGACAAGTAGGAAGAGCTGTCATTTTGAACCTGTAACGGAGCTGTAGCTTCTGTGTGCCATTCGACGTTCCACTCAAGGTTTCCAGCGGTGTGTGTTGATGCCTTGAATGAGCCAGTGTGAGTTTTCCATGGTGACTGGCATTCATTTTTTAACAGAGGCTTTTCATTCCTGTTTAAAATTTTTTTTTTTTTGAGGAAAAAATAAATTCATGTTCAGTTATTAGAAATGTTTCTTGCAAAGCGTGATTTTCTTGAAATACTTTTCCTAGTATTTACCATTTAACTCAATTGTAGTACTATAAAATGAGTGTGAATTTTTCCCCAAGTTAAAGCAAAATATGCAAACCTCAAAATAGCTATAACTTTCATCTCTAAAGGAAGATGCGATGTTAAAGAGCAATTCACGTGTGGTTAACTGGTCTTAATATAGTCAGCACCAGATTATCCGTATTTATTTAAACATTGAACCTGAAGTTTTCCTGTGTTCTGCATACAGGATATTGATTAGGTAGAATCAACAGGAGTAGTGTGTGTTTAAGAAGCCAGGCAAAATTATGTCTTTTGTTCACAAATATGTATGTTTATAAGTAATAATCCATTTTTTTCTCTCCAGCTAGGTGTATGGTTTTCCTTGGGCTGCGCGTACATTGCTTTAGAAGGCTATGAAGGTGCTGCCAAAGCATTTCAGCGCTGTGTGACGCTGGAACCAGATGTATGTAGTTTTCAGCAAGCGATTCAGATGGCTTATCTAAAAGCAACAAGGATGTTTTCATTATAAACAAGCAAAGCAATAATGAAAAACTTGTTTAAACCTTAGCCCTTTGAATAAATTAAACTTGTGCATGAAGGATATATTTTTGTCATGAGGCATTGTAAAAATACTTGCCCAATACTTCACTTCATCCAAGTATGTGTATGTGAATGTTAAAATATGTTTGAGCAGAAATTCCTTTATGCTTGCATACATTGCTGAAATGGAGAAAAGAGAATGAGTAGACCAAGGAGTGCTAAAAACAAACATGAAACAAAAAGAAATAAATTAAAACACTTAGTCCTCTAAGTAATCAAATTCTTCTGAAAAAAAGTCAAGTAAGTGATTGTATGGCAGGTAAATTTGTAACTATATAGTTCTTGAGTACAGGGAGAACAGAGCTTGTGACTCAGTTTTTCAGGATGCACGGGACAAGCACGTGTGCCATATTGCCCTTTGAGTGTGACTGCACTGAGATAGCAGAGACATCAGCTTGATTACCTCATGGGAATGCACTGGCAATACTTTTGTCAAAATCCTCGACTGCCAGCATGTTACCCACTTAGAGCTGATTCCACCTACTTGATAGAAACTATTTTTCATTCTTTTCTCTTAGGGAAGAGAATGAGAGAGTGATGAAAGGTGGCAGAGTATTCTTTTCTATTAATAAAATTAAATAACTTACCTAGAAAAAAATGTACATACAGACAACGCTTTAACTGAAATTTTTACTTTATAGATACTTTTTTTTGTTTCATTACAGTAGATTTACTGTAAAGCAGATAATAAAATCATGCTTGCTTATCTCTCTGGGACCTGTACTTGGTTGTATTCATGTGAACAAGCCAACTGACTTCTCGGTGGGTTTAGTGGTATTTCTTCTGTGAGTAAAAGATGCTGGGCTGACTCTTAGTTATGGAGGTGAAACCTATCTTTTTACAATGATCTGCAGCAATATGATGACCATTTCGATTAAATCGGCCTCAAAAAGGTTTCCTAATGTGATTTAAATGCTGCTTAAGCCTAAGGATAGCCTTCAGTACTACAGTACATTTCATTGCAGTACACAGGTTGTGTTCATCAGATTCATACTAGTTGTCACTTTGCTGAATCTGGTGGTGCAACTCCAAATTTACAGCTGTGTAAGATGATGGGCAGGGATCATCTCTGCACATGGCTCTGCAGAGGAAAGATTGTTTGAGCACTCTCTAATCATTTTCAGCTAAAACAGTTGATAAATGCTGTTTTACCTGAGGTGAATTAGGAGATATTCTGATGATTTTTTTTCCACTAACAGAGTGGTGCAGATAAGTAGCTTCCAACTAGTGAGAAGTGATGAGCTGCTGGGAGCACTGCCCTCTCCAGCCATCCCAGTGAGATCCAGAAGAGGATGCCTGTTTACAGTTTTAACTGAAGGCCAAAGCTGAGTTGTTGTATTCCGACCAGAAGGCAGTTAACTGGTATTTATATACCTGATCATTGCTATAGTCCATAATATTTATTTATGTATTTCTATTTTAAGACAAGAATTTCTGTTTCTATGTAATATTTTGACTGCCTTGTAGAAAATATGTTTTAATATGCAAATCAATGGCATTTCACAGTAGTTTTTATCAAGTAAATGTAATCTAAGTGATTACTATTTTTAGTACTTGTCCTTTTATCATTACAGAATGCTGAGGCCTGGAACAATTTATCAACTGCTTATATCAGATTAAAACAGAAGTAAGTACTTCAGAAGGATTAGAAGATACCGCTTCCAAAATAAATAAATGGGATTTCCTTTTTTTGACATTGAGTTTTTTATTCTTATGATATATTTACCTTGCATTTTGTAGCTCTTATCCCTTCAGTTCTTTCTCCCAGATTGGATCATTGATAATGTATTTTATTTTATGGGAAATAAAGCTTCATAAGCTTTATAAAAGTAGCAACCTCTCAACCTATACTTTTTTCTTTTATGATGTAGTAAAACAGTGTAAAACATTCATATTAAAGTCAGAAACTAATTTGACAGTGAAGTTAAAAACTAATTTGACAACTAAGTTAAAAGATACATCCGTTTCAAGCGAACTATATATTCAGACCTAAGTAAATTCCTACTGCATTAGTCTCAGCAGATTTGAGAGAAAGACAGTCTCTTTTTTATATTATGAAAGCAAATGGAGATCTGCACACATACTAGCTCACTTTTTATTTTGAAAAAAAAATAAGATACTTAATTGCTTTCTTTAAATCAGTACTACTCAAGGATTGTGCATTTTGCTAAGACTTAGCGGACAACAGATAAATGTAAAATGTCTAAGTCTTTTCTGAAAAATTCATGCAAACAACTTCCTGAAACGCAAATGGAAGATGTTTTGTTGTTTTGGGAGTTTGCTTTTTAAGAGCCCACAACCTTTGTGTATTCTGAATTTCCTCCAGAAAAACTAATTGTGATGAAAACAGACTCTACTATTTGGTTTACCAGAATAAAACCTTCTCTGGGTGCCAGGAGGCCTTTGAAATCTAGATCTTGTATTTCTCAGATCAAACTAGGACTGGACCCTCTATCCTTTGGGTGAAAGATTCCTGGTTTCCAAGATGGGATGACATACCGGCACTGCCTACTGTGTCCTGCTTGGATATGAATTGGTTTAACTGTTGCCCAGATTAAAGATACACCATCATTATATGATGTATTTAAATACATGGGGGATTTGTTTTGAGAACCTAGAGGACTTCATTAGTGTAGCAAGAGCATTGATATGAAGAATGCAATTTCAATCCCATCCCTCTGCTATCTTGTCTACATTTCCATCTGATTGGCATTTCTCTTTTGATAACTTGCTAACTTTTTCGAGAAGGTGGGGGGAGATCATACAGCCTAATCCTGCAGATGTTGAAGAGCAGTTTCAGTAACGATTTTCTCAAGGTCACTGGGGTACAAGCCTGTTGGAGAGCTGTGGCAGATCCCATCTTCCACTGTAGCAAAATCCACAGAGAAAGGAGCCAGTCTCTATTTTTTTCTCATATCATCTCTCAAAATCAGGTTCTGAAATTCCTTACTAAGACCATTAACAGTGGAGGAGACCCAACTGTTAGTACATTTGCTTGGCAGCATCAAATATGTCAGTGTAGCAGAAGGAGGGGGAGGGGGAAAAAGTGAACATGGGAAGATCCTTCCTGTGGACTGTTCTGCTGTAGCTATGCCAAAAGGCCAGTTTTCCTTCAATAGTTTTGCCTTATCAGTCAGCTCTCTTGGTGTGTATTTGGTAATTTTTTTAATACTGTGAGCTTAGATTGGCAGTTACTTACATTTTTCCCCGAGCCAGCTCTTCCAAACTTTTGATGGCCTGAGCCACTAGTTAAATATTCCCTTTTGCTGACTGGGATATTTATATTCTCCTGGACCATCTCTTTGAAACTAAACCAATAATTTCTTTGAGCTGTCTTTCTTTAGAAACAGCATTTTCAGCAACTTACTCAAGCAACAGAGCAAGCGAACTGCAAATTTTATTACAGGCCATCTTTATGTGATCTTTATTAAGGAGAAATTTATTGTCATACTTCCCCAAAGGAGGTTTTGACCAGACTAGGAAAACTGTCTAAGTTTTCATTTAAAGGAATTGTTCTTTTGTGTTTTTTCTACATTTTATGACTATCCACCTGAGAGCAAGCTTCAGTATCTTCAAGTCCTAAGAACCATATCATTCTGATTATCTAGTAAAGCTTTTTTTACAGATTCAAATTTATTGAAACTTTTGGCAGTATGCTGAAATCTTTAAGTAGTAGGCACCCAGACCTGTTAAGTGACCTACCTTTGTGTGATGAAGTAAGTTGATATCATTCTGCATCTGCCATGAACTCAATGACTTTTGTTTAATGTGTTATAACAGCAGCATGACTGAGATTTTTTTCTCATGGTTCTCTATCTTCTAAATCTTTAATATAGAATCTTCTTTTCTTTTTTTTTTTTTTGTTAGAATCAAAGCTTTTCGAACCCTTCAGGAAGCTCTCAAGTGCAACTATGAGCACTGGCAAATATGGGAGAACTATCTTCTTACCAGTACAGATGTTGGAGAGTTTTCAGAAGCAATTAAAGCTTATCACCGGCTCATGGACTTAAGGGAAAAGTACAAGGATACACAGGTGAGGAAGTTATGTTAAGTCAGCTTATAAGTTTTTTCTTGTGGGAGATTTCTACCGATAATGATATCAGGAGTGATAGTACGCATGTCAGTGAAGATATGTAGGCAAGCCATTTAATTATTTTGAGATCTGGACTGTAAGACTAAGTATTTAAAATATGACAAATATGAGCCTTGCAGTTTTAAGATTTTTTCTTAAATAAAACACAGTGCCTACCCAATATTCTTACATGTCTTAGCATCAGAAATAATACAAATTATTTAGTTTAAAGAAAAGTAAACTGTTCCTATTTGTTTGAAAGTTGCAGAAATGAGCCTTTGAAAATTAATGTAATGTAATGTAATTAATGTAATACATTACAGTCAGAACATTGATTCTTAATAATCAGAACAAAGAAAAATAAAGAAGATATTTTTGCTGATCTGTCACTGTAGGTCAGTTAAATTCATTTAACTTTTGCGTTTGTAGATGTGCGCTCTGGACAAAATCCAGAGAGCCTAGTTTAACAGCTTCAACTGGGATGTCACCTTGTCTAAAATCAGGTCCTGATCCAAGCAGGGTTCTGTACATGCAGTAAAAACAGCAAGGTGAATCTGAAAGGCAAGCCAAAGAATCCCTTAAGCAGAGTAGTGAAACGCCTCTACAAGCCTTTACAAAATTAATGGATCTGATTGAAGATCTTATGAGCTCTTAGGGAGTTGGTGTGTAGTACCTGAGTAAGTGGGCCCAGCTGCTGCTGGTTGTTGATCTCAGGAGTACGTTTCTTTTATTATCCCGTAAAATGATTAAAAGTAGCTCTTCTGGATCTTGGAAGTTTGAGTCCAGTGATAAGGAGAGAGAACAGATAGAATTAATTACGGTTGTGGACACATTTTATTTGTTCATGGAGGATAGGGATGTTAAAAACTTCTTTTTGATAACTTTTTAATAACAAACTGTATGTGAGTACAACACTTACTGGGTTTGACTGCACATTAAAAGATCTCAAACTTTCTTTGCACTAAAAGGTGTCTATGGAAAATAATCTTATATATGGTAAAGATTAGTGTTTGTCAGCTACAGTATTGTGGTGCTGATGGGGCCTGTGTGTTTATTCATGGAACACCTTGTAGACAGTTGGCTTTTTTAATGACTTTTTTTTTTCAGTTGTTAATTTAAATAACATTTTTGATGTAGTCTGCCATCTCAGGGGAGACCTTATTACCAGGTACTAGTATATAAAGCGTGGCTACCAAGAACATGGAGTCTCCCTTTTTAGGAAGAGTCACATGGCTAAGACAAGGGGGAATGGGTACAAGTTGCTCCTGGGGAAATTCCGATTGGACTCCAGCAGAAAATTTTTAACCATGAGAGTAATTAGACATTGAAATAGTCTTCCAAGAGAAGTGGTGGATTCCCCAGTCTTAGATAGTTTTAACGCTCAGCTTGACAGGGTGCTGGGCCATCTCATTTCAACTGGGTTTCTTTACTTTAAAGGGTTGATCTAGATGATCCTTGAGGTCTCTTCCAATCTGGTAATCTATGACTCTATGATTATTTTGGTCAGATGATGATTGAGCAGGAATAGACTCTTCTACATATATTTGTACATTTTACATATTTTGAGGTGACACAGACTCCTGTTAGTGTGTTTTGACAAATTTTATACAGGATATTTTGTTAAAATATTCAGGGATGTTTCTGGGTTTGTTGTATAGCTCTTTTTTTCATCTTGTTTTCATACAACTTTTATAATTTCTACAGAAGTATGCTGTGTATCCTATTTTTTTCTTTGTATCCCAATTTTAACTTCTTTCTTATGAAATATGATGTGCTTTATGGGTTTCATCATAACTTCTAATACAGTGTCCTCAATTAGAAGGATTTTACTAGTTGGCCAAGAAAAAACTCAGAGCCTGATTAAAGAATTTCAGAAAGACTTTAATCAGTAGTATTACAGAGAAGAGTATTCCCATAGCAAAACCAAAAAAAAAGCACATAAAACTAAAAGTTTCTCCTGAGATTGTTTACAAAGGTCACCATTAATTTCTGAGCCTCCCCTACTTGCCAATTGGCCTGTTTCAATTAGAAATGCTCTATAACCCTCTTGTGCAATTGTATTTTAATAAAATAAAATCACAGAACAGGAATAAGTTGAAACACACACTTCTGTTTCCATGCAACATAGTGCGATCTTCTCTCAGGTTAGATTTTAATTAATAGATGACATAGTGCTGAGAAGGAAAGTAGGAATTGAAAAATCCAGAAAAATAAATATGCATGAGACTGAAAGAAACAAGTTGAGTCATTGATTCAAGTTCTTTGTGAAAACAGAAAGCCGATCACTGGTCCCTTCTAGCATAACCATTGTTGCACAAGGCTCCTTGCGAGACTGAGTGCATCAATTAAGAGTGTGCAATTGAGTGTGTAATTTGTCACGCCCTTGGTTTGTATAGTTACATCAGATTATTTTATTTCAGCATAGTATGGATTCATATTTGTAATTTCTTGTAGTAATAGTAAAGGTATTCGTATCTTCATCTGTCATTTCTGTTCGGCTGTTGCTGTCTTTTTGTGCCAGACTTGTGAGGACAGAACACAGCTTTGGCCAATTTGCTTCTAAGCTATTTTAGTTATTTAACAACCTCATCTTTATGGCAAACCTTTTGAGATCAGGATATCACGAGGCTTAAAAATATGTGTATGTACAGATTCTGCAGACAGGACTGAAAAGGAATGGCTGAAGGGCTCTTTCAAAAATGAGCAGCAAAGCAATAAAAGATTACAGCAAAGGACGTACTTGCCAAAGTCTAAGTTTCCTGGTATTCCCCTTAAATGTTAAAGGCATGCTTTCTTACCTTCCTTCCTTCCTGGGTCTGAAAGTTCTTCAGATTTCCTTATTCCTCTTCATGTTCGCAAACCTAGTGAGAAATATACCTTGAAAATCTTTAATGTAGATGTTGCATAGTAAAAGATAAGGTCTTACTGAATTGTCACTAGTTTAACTTAGTGGATCGGTCACTAAAAAGGATCCAAGGAGAAAGTCTTACCTGTTATCATCAGTTTAGCCTCTGAATTATTAGTCTGAGTGAGGTGATCGAGATACCTGAAAGATTTCTTCAACTTCTAATCATACTACTTTGCACCAGGTGCACGCTTGTGGAGAGAAGCAATCTTTTTTTACTTGGAAATTTGTAGTTCTGTGAATAACCAAGTTATTTTGTGGGTGGAAAATCTGTTTTGATACATGGCTTTCAGAAACCAGATCTTCATCCTGTGCTGTCAAAGAATATGAATTCAGAGCCATGGACAAATGGTTCCTCTCTGCAATTCTATGTTCTGGAGAATCTTGCAAAGTTTTTCTGCTACACTTTCCATCAAATATCACCCGCATTTCAGGAGTTTGTATTGCCAGACTGTTTCTAATAAAAACATACAAGAACCTGTTCCAAGGCAATTTTGAGGCGCAAGGGTAGGAATTCATAATTTCTGGAGCTCTGTTTCTTTGAAGTAGCTCACTAATGACAATTGTATTTTATAATAAAGTTTTAATTTGTGAGGGGCATAGGGAGACCTATAGACTGTAGATTTGTCATTTTGGATCTGGTACCTGAGGACTCTCTTTTCACTTGAGCACTGTCAAGTTTGATTAGTATTAGTGAAGCCTCTAAAAACGGTTTGACAAAGTGAATTTTTGTATGAAAGGACCTGTTCATAGAACAATTGTGGAATGAGACTAACTGATAGCAATCACAGCATTCTAAAATGATTGGGGTTTTTTTTAAGGATTTGTTACATGGTGATTTTTGTTCATTTTTTAGTAAACACATTCACGGATTCAGAGGAGGAGGAGGAGGAATGCAGGTGGTGTGGCATCGTACTAAACACAAACTCTCTGCACACTGGTCATGTGGAGCTCAGTTTACTAAAAGAGGCATTAAAAACCCCAAAAGCTCTACTGCTTTTATGAGATCCTGAGCAAGAGAGCATTGTTTTAGTAGTTCAGTATATATGGCAGTTTAAAATCTCTCAAAGATACAAATTAAAATTTAACACCTAAGACAGCTTTCTGAAATGGAAAGCTTTTTACATTGCTAACCCTTTTTGATGATTAGCACAGTTCACTCGCAGTTTGAAATAGCTTTATTTAATAACTGGGCACAGCCAAGTAGTGTTAATGATTCATAACTGTTTAATGGACTCTAATCCAGGCCTTCACCCTAGTTTTATTTTAACTGCTGTAGTGCTGAAGCTTACGTGATGATTTACAAAGAAGGAGATATGTTGTTATGATGAAGGTATAAATAAAGCCTTAACTCTATGGGAAAATGGGCAATTTTTCAGTTCGTAAATCCTACTGACTGAGGAAACTTTTTTATTCATGTACAAACAACATATCATTGGCTGTAAAGCTCTTGGTATTTGTGTGAACTAACTTTTTGGACTTTGAGTAACAATTTTGTTAAACTGAGAAATTGACTGAGAAGTTATACATTTATGTATGAATCCTCAGGACCAGTTCTACTTCTTTTTCAAAAGATAACAGTTTAATATTTCTTCTTACACCTCCTCATGCTTTTTATTACAATGCTGTAGTAATGGAAGTATCAATACTTGCAAGAATGCAATATGAATTTCAGAACATCTGGACTATTAATAGTTGATCATATTTTCTATCATCTTAAGTGAAAATCTGAGGGAGAGGAGAGGCAATTTGACATCATTTTATACGGGCTGTACTGTTATGGTTTGGGAGAGGGGAGCGGGTAATGGTTTTGCTAATGTTCAAGTGCTACTATGATTTCATTGGTTCTGAAAAGATAGAAGGAGAAGATAAATAGTTATTTTCACTTTTTCCATTACATAGGTTTATTTCATATCATCAGCCCTTTTTATTTGTTTGAGTTGATTTGCCAAAGTTTTCCTATATTTGATAAAATGCAGTAATTAATTGTTGGGTTTCATGTTAATTGAGTCATTCTACTATAAAAATTTTTTTAGGAAAATGACATCACAAATATTAAACTGCATATGCCTTTATTTGAAGTGTAATATACTTTGATGCTGTCATGATTTTTGCATTACTTTCTGCCAGTGAACTACATCTTGGTTTGTGAGGATGCACCCCTGTCCTGCTTTTGCTTAGAGCAGTGGTATATTTGTGTGGCTGTGGCTATTGACAGATCATCTTTGAAACTGGTTTTATTACTGTCTTGATATTAATTTTGCTACTAATGTGATTTCATTGTAAGTGTTAATGTCACAGGGACAAAAATGTTGAAGCGTTCAAGTTGTCAAACGATGGGTCTCAAGTTAGGAAGTACCATCATGAAGGTGTTTGTAAACCCTTTACTAGCCTATCTCATATGCAAGCATTATGACACTTCCCCTTTGTTTTTGTAATTTCTTCCCCAATCTCCATGTGTCGTGCACTACACAGAACAGGTAGTTCTCACTTAATCAGCCATAGCTTTCTTGGGGTTTATTTTCTTTTAATTTATCATATGATCCAATGTCTTAATTTAGATTTGCTACTCCTCATTTTATTAAGAAGTAACTGAGGCACAGCGAAACTGTTTTCTAGTTTTCAGTGTCCAGTTTGGAACACAAAGACTCATGCTTCTTTCAGGGATACTTGGTATTATGTAGCATTTCAGACATGCAAAGCCCAGCTCCTAGTGAGTGCACCAGCAGCTGCATGTGCTCAGCATTTCTGCAGGTCAGAAGAGTGACTCAGAAAGTATAACCATTAAATGAGTCCTTGTAAAAAATTTGATTGAACTGACTTGACTAGTAATTCACCATAAGTGCATTAAACACAGTTTCCCAAGGTGTTATTCATAGAATCATAGAATGGCCTAGGCTGGAAAGGACCTTAGAGACCATCTAGTCCAACCTGCCTGGTTTTGGGCAGGGGCGCCACCTCTCGACTAGACCAGGCAACACATGGGGACTGAGCAGGAATTGAACCTGCGACCTCGGTGTTGGTCCTTGTTGCCAGCACCGCGCTCAAACCACTGAGCTAATTCAATTGCCTTCCAGTTTTGATCTCATCCACTATAGATCTTTCAGTTTCTGCAGGTAGTTAAATGAAGGTCCTGTAAACAACAGTGTCAGCCACTACCTGAATTAAACTAGTTCAGCCTGTTTACTATACTATAATGCAAAAATTTCTTTAGGATACTGCCACAATTTCCGGTACCATGCTTTTTCACACTAGCCTGTCCCAGTAACCCAAATTGCTGTCTTAGCTCTTTGGCCTCTTTACCTTTACCAGCCATAGAATCTTGTAGATGGTGTTTAAATTAGGTGGATTACTCTTAGTGAAATCTGTGCTTGTCGTATGGTACTATGGTTGTATTTCACCGAGTCATTAATAGAGAACAGATATTACAGATGTCATTAAATATGCTGATAGTGATTTGACTTAAAGTAAAGATTCTCTTGCTGCTTCTTTCAGGTGCTGGCTATCCTGGTCAGAGCAGTGGTGGATGGTATGGCAGATCGCACTGGAGAGGTAGCGAGTGGATTGAAGGGGAAATTGCAAGAGCTCTTTGGCAGAGTGACTTCACGAGTGACAAACGATGGAGAGATCTGGAGACTTTATGCCCAACTTTATGGAAATGGGCAGAGTGATAGTGGTGAAGATATCGAAAAGGTAAGTGTATTGTGAGAGATACATTTTTATGGATACGCCCTTCTGGTACAAACCTTCTGATCTCTAACAAACTATAGGGCTATAGTAAGACATGCTTATTCCAGATGCATTTTGCTTTTTTCTGTTTTTCATATTCTTACAGCACACGTTTTTATTATCTAGCAGGAGCAAGATGTTTTATATCAGTTTTTCTGCATTTTAAGAAAATCTGTTATTTCTTGTTTTAATATTCTATCACAGCATATGTGCACCATCTTGGATTTGTATTCTGAAGCTTTTCCTGGCAGCAGTCTAATGCTTGTAACCTATTATTGGTGGGGGTTTTGGTGGGTTTGTTTGGGGTGGG